CTGGCGCGCTGCCCCGCCACTTGCAGCTGCACCAAGGAGTCCATCATCTGCGTGGGCTCCTCCTGGGTGCCCAGGATCGTGCCGGGCGACATCAGCTCCCTGTGAGTGGGACCCCTCGCCCCTTCCCCACTCCTCCCACCCTGGCCCGCCGCCTCCAGGGAGTTGCCTCCGGCGCTGGGGCAGCGCGACCCGACCCCACTCCAGGCTCCTTGGCTGCGTTCGGGTGGGGGCGCGCCACGGGACGTGGGTGGAGTCTGGACCCCCGGAGGACGGAGGGAACCTGAGCCCCAGAGTCTGGGAGCGCAGGCGGGTCCCTGTGGTTGGGTTTCTCAGTGTGGCCCACGGGTCACCGGCTGCAGACCCACCGGGGAGAGCTCTGCGGATGCAGACCCGGCCCGCGGTGAAGCAGGGTCTCTGGAGTGGAGTCCGGGGACCGCATTGGTGTCCCCGGGTGCTTCTGGGGTGCATTAAAGTTTGAGAGGGCGTGTATGTGTGCTTGTGTGTTGGGGCATGCGTGGGGCAGCTCAGCACGACTGGACTAAGTGAAGCTGGACAGGGCGAGGCCTCATGCCCTACTGGGGCTGGGGCGGAGGTTCGCACCGGGCCACCTCCCGACCTCTCCCACTGCAGGCTGGGAAGAGCCGGTAAAGCCGTGCAGTCTCTGCAAATGGAGGGGACGCCCCACGTGGCGGGGCGCAGAGGACTTGAGTGTAGGGCGTGTGGGGTGCCTAGCCGGGCGCACTGATTGGACTTCTGGCTCTGAGTTCTGGAGGGCTCCTTGCCCCCTTCCCCACCCCGACACATCAGGTTGGCCGCTTTGTCAGTGCTGGGGGAGAGACAGAAAAGGGCTTCATGCTAGTTACCCACCTGCTGGGAGAATCTTCACCTCGGCCCCTAGGCCACCCAGGCCACCCAGGCCACGCGGCTGCGTCTCCCAACAGCCAGGAAGGGGCTCCTGGCTGTGTTTTTATTGCCCGGACCGTTCGCCCTAATACCTCTCCCTTTCTGCAGGCCAGGCTGCTGGGGTGCCCATGGTGGAGGCAGGGGTCCCTGGGGTGACGTTGCTTGTGTTCAGGGTGCTTTCTCATGCCCAGCCCTCCCTTCCCTGCCTTGCACCCAAGGCAGGAAGCCGGGCCCTGGCCCCAGGAGTGAGGACACCCCGTTGCCCTAATGGAGTCAGGAGAGTTTGGCCGGCGGGAATAGAAGACCTCATTCCATCCCTAGTGTTGCCAAGTCTGGCGACATGGAGGATTCCAGAAATTAGAATTCCCCTTCTCCAGTCTTTTTTTTAAAAACATGCTTAATTGATCAGCATGTTAAATGAAAATACTTCTGAAATACTACTGAGGTCCTGCTGGGGCCAGAAAGGCCTGGGTCCCTGGAAGCAAGAGGCCAGCCTCAGTTTCCAGAGTTGGCCATTGTTTTCTGCAGTGGCCTGGCCTCCCATGGCATGTCAAGTTCAGGTGTCTGGGACTTAGTCCACCGCCCCCCCTACACACACACACCCCAGGCTTTCATGGTGCATTTAATGAGAAGTGCTCTGAGTGTCTTTCAGAGATGTGCTCCCAAGGGGAATGCTTAATCCTACCCGAGTCTCGTTGGCCAACATTCACGCTGAGTCCACACAGACAGAACCAGGGGCAGGGGTGAAGTCATCCTCCATTTTCAGCCGGGGTGTCCTGTAGTTAAGGAAAGGAAGTGAGAGGATTGATTTAAACGACCTGAGATAGCGTCTATGCAAGGAGCCAGACTGATAGTGAAGGTTTCTGTCATTCAGACTAGTTTTCCTATTGATCCACTTCCCCGGAAAATGCCCGACTCTCCTCATCCCGGCCCCTGGGACGAGTCTGGCCAGCTGTGTTAAGTCATACTCGCAGGGCCAGAGTTCCAGCACAGGATGGGGGGTGGGGTGGGACCCATTGCCCGTCCTGCCTGGCACTTCCTGAAGGAAACCCGACCATGTTTTGTCACTCTTCTGCCCGCAGGAGCCTGGTCAATGGGACGTTTTCAGAAATCAAGGACCGGATGTTTTCCCACCTGCCCTCCCTGCAGCTGCTGTGAGTATGGGGCGTTCTCTCTGCAAACTGGGGGGATGTTCCCGAGGTACCATCCTTGAAGGGCACTCTCCGCCTCCTTGGTATCGGTCCTAACTAAAATATCCTGGCTCCGTGAGTAAACCGTGGCCAGATCTTCAAGTTCCTGTGTGCTGCGTCCCAGCAAGTTCAAGGCCCCTTGCTGGCTTTCCTTTCCCTAGTCTGGTACATGCTGTCTTCAAGGACTGTATCCTGCAATTGCTTTGAGCGTGGCCAAAATTTGACCTAAACCAACTGTTTTCCAAACATTTCACTTTAAAATAAACCCGACAGTTTTAAAGTCTCATTGTTACTCTGGAAAGTGAAGCTTTTTAAACTTATTGACAGCTCAAATGGTCGGGCAGCATACTGTGTGTTTCTGTGTAATATTGTTTCGTGTCGTCCCTAGGAGGAGGGCATTATTTTCCCATCGACAGATGAGGAAACTGAGGCTCGGGGAACTTACCTAACTTTTCCCAAATGACAACGCGAAGACTCTGACCAAAGGCCCAAAGCCCCCCATGCCCCAATCAGTGAACCATGCCTAAGTCACGGGGGGAAGTGCTCATGTAACTCAGATCAACAGTTCGCTGATCAAAAGCAGTTTTTAAAAGCAAATTGGGGGGCCAGCTGTGGTCATAATGGCTTTGTCACTGGTCTCCCATGTGGTCGACCATGGTTCGAGTCCCAGACTTGGTGGCTTAAACTCACATAGGGTGTGTGTGTGTGCATGCCCAATATCCTGAGAGAAGAATGGAGGAGAAGGGATTGCAGCGTGGCTATCCCCCCCTGGGGGGTGATTTCTCACTTTTTATCTCTCTGTCTCTGTCTTTCTGGTGAGCACATGCAACCTATAGCAAAAAACCTCTCCAATAAAAAAAAAACAAAAACCCAAAATCGGCTGGCCCTCTAGCCTAGTGGTTAAGGAGTGGGATCCCACATGGCTTGAAAACACGTGCATGTATGGTATCCCCCAAATCCTGATGGGATAGGGTGGAGGGATTGGGGATGACAAGGCCCCATGGGGGGTGCTTTCTTCCTCTTTCTCTCTGTCTCTTGGTCTCCCCTGTGAGCACATGCACCCTTTGGCAGTTAAAAAAAAAGGATGAAGCAGGTCCGTCAGAGGCAAAGCCCCGGGTACACACCTTCCTCTCTTTATGGGTTTCTTAAGTTGGGGACGAGACCAAAATGAGAATAAATAATGTCCTATAGTAAGATACTGGGAGATGGAGTACAGGCGATCACGGCTCATGCTGGACGAACTTACTGCTGATATTTTTGTTCTTGAAATATTGGGTTGTCGGAAAAGTCATGACACATTGTTACATAGAAAAAAATACGTCATGACTTTTCCGACAACCCAATACGCTATGCGTGTTTGTAATACTATGCTTAATGTTTTAAAACCTGAATTTATGTTCTCATAGAATGGCAGTGCTATGAAAATACAATTTTTATGTGATAGAAATATAATTTTAGATATTCTCTTGCCAGATAGACTTAAGTGGTGACTTGGATTAAAAAAAAATAGTAGTAATCAGGAGTCTTCTGAAGGTTTTTGTTTTGGTTTCTTTAAATTTGCTAGAGGGTGCGAGTGCTTATCAGAGAGAGAGAGAAAGAGACAGAGGGAGTGGGGCGTGGTCATGCTGCCATCTCTTCTCTATTTCTCCATCCTGTTGGGAATCGGGGCATGCATGTATATATGCCTGCCATGTTTTTCAGGCTGCCGGGGCTAGGATTTGCAGCAGGTGGACAGCCATGTGGAACTTGGCTCCCTGAACCACTAAGCCACAGGGCCAGCCCCTGAAGGTTTCTTTTGTTCTTTCTTTTGGTTAATTTTATTCTATTATTATCATTACTCTTTAGCTTGTATAGGGCACGTGCACTCACCAGAGAGAGACAGAGAGAGAGAGACAGAAAAAGTGAGAAAGCAAGCTGCAGGTCCAGGACTCGAACCGCAGTCAGTCATGTAGGAGTCCAGCACCCCAAGCACCATCCCACCTGCTAGTCCCCATGAAAATTTCTTAAACAAACTCCCCCCCTACTGTTTTGCACGGGTGTGTAGAATATAGTAGGAAGGAGTTTTTATGTCTGTCTCAGCTAGGTGACTTTGGTCACCATTTAACTTCCCTGGGCTAAAATTTCTCTAAAATGAGAGTTGAGTTAGGTCCGTTGAGATCTCCAGTTCCACGTGGCTGGATGTCACAAAGCAATCACTGGCTGTTTAGTTGTGCCGAGCAGTATCACCTTCGAAGACAACAACCCTCAGGTCATCTTTACTAGGATTCACAGGAGAGGGAGGGGTGGGATGTTGGAGGTGACCAGGAAACCGAGCCAAAAGGAATCTTCTCACCATCGTCTCTCCCAGTAGTCTCTGAGTTGGATTGTAGACCTAAAGGGCTGCCTAGAGGTGGAGAAGAGCCCGTGTTCGCCCACAGATTAGGGCATAGCAAAAGGCTCAGAAGTGGCTTCACTGTGCCACTCAAGTTTTACATTTCTGCCTTGAATCTGCCCCTTGTTTTCAGGTTGCTGAATTCGAACTCCTTCACGGTCATCCGGGACGACGCCTTTGCGGGCCTTTTCCACCTGGAATACCTGTAAGTTTCATGCTTTGCCTGCGTGCTGAGGCGGGCTTCTCCGAACTGCTGGGTCGCTTTCCTGCTAGAACAGTCTCTCTGTGAGGGCTGAGGAGTGGCGGGCAAGAGGAAACCCTGTTCTCTTTTCAACACTGACCTTTTCTAGTTTACTTGCTTATAAATTTGCTGTGGCAGGAGGAGGCTGGGGACAAAGACGCAGGAACAAAGAGGAAAAGATCCTCATTCATTCTCTGCTGACATTTAATTTGTCATGTAGTAAGCACAATTGGAAATTGCGTTGGATATTTTTACCTCTCATAACTAGGCATGGATTGCTGATCAGCCAGAAATAGAGCTGAACGGTTCTGAGGATGGCGTATGTTTAACTAAAGTCTCCCTCTTTTGGGGGTTACAACTTCATGTGTTTCATTCCCTGGTTCTGCAACCTGTTTACCGTATCTCCTGTGAGCTGCAGTTGAGGGTTTAATTTTATTTCATTTTTTCCTAAAAACAAAACAAAACAAAAGCAAAATAGGGTATTTGTTTTTTGAGGTGCAGTCTCTTTTATTTTTTTTCCCCTTCAATGAGCTTTGCCCTCATTCCAATTTCTGCCTTTTCTCACTTTCATGTCTTCTTCCCCCTGAAGTTCTTTCATCCTTGTCTTTGGTAACTGTGTAATAATGTTAAACCTGTTATCAGGTGGGATTTTCTTACCTGGTATTCAGACGGGTTTTGAAAGCCTTTCTCTGCTTTCTTATTTGAGTTCAACAGGCAGATATTGGAATTCCAGACACATCTTGGGTATAAGGAAGCTCTTGCCGACTTTGTGCCTTGAGGGGAGATGTCTGTGAGGGAATTCTTTCTCCAGACAGTGCACACACACACACCTGGCATGTATTTCAAGCCACCAGGTCTGAGACTTGAACCCCGGTCGGCCATGTGGGAATCCAGTGACCTAACACTATGCCATCTGCTGGCCCCATAGGCAGTTCTTCTTACTGTTAAGGTTATTGGGGAGAAAATTAGCTTATCTGCTTATACTGAAATCTATTGCTAAAAGACACATAATTAACATCACAGACACGAGGAAGTCCTCCGTGCAAGAATGAAGAAGTGCTTCACTAATGATGTCGTGCTGCAGGGTCTCATCCTTAGGCCTTCTCATCCAAGACCCTCTTACATTTGACTTAAAATGTTTCAACCAACTATGGCCCTAGGGAATGGTCACGATGCAGTCATGCCCTATCTTTTTTGCCATAAGACACGCCAGTGTTATTAAAGCATAAGTTATTAATACACCCTCTGCATTTTAGCCCAGAGGAAGAGGTTCAGTCTCCATGCAACTTTGCTGTTCTTCCTACTTCCAAGAAGCTTGGAGATCTTGACAGTATCCCTGCCTCATCACCGTTTTGCTTAGAGTTCAGTGTGTAGAATCTGAGGAACCCAAGGTTGTGGGAAGCCCAACTTGACAAGAGTCTCCTTCAGCAAAAACTGGAGATGTACAAGCAGGGTGCCCCTGAATGATCAGTCACTGAAGTGTGCCTCACGGGGCCCTGAGAAATGTAAGGGAAACAGGGGATGAAGAATGTCTGGCAACGTTCCAGCCTTGCTGACATAAGAGCATTTCTTAGCTTTGTACGGCACATTCTTTTCTCCCTCCAAGATGTTCTGGCCCACATGGTCAACTCTGAATTTGTAGACATCCATGCTGCCTTTGAAGGGCACGCAGGACACACCCGTGTGCTGTGTCCCTGCACACTTACCTGCTCCCACGTGCAATCCTGTAGCTGGTGTACTCTTCAGGGGTGAAACTTTATCATTCACGAAGCTTTTAGATTTTATCCCAAGTTCATATCAGTATCACTATTTAGAAATACTAGGCTGAGAAAATCCAGTTTAATTTTCTATTTTTGTCCTCAGGTTCATTGAAGGGAACAAAATTGAAACCATTTCAAGAAATGCCTTTCGTGGCCTCCGGGACCTGACTCACCTGTAAGTCCTACAAAGAGTATCCTAATCCAGGGAGAGTCACTTCCTGGTGCCTCTCTCTTTCTTGCCTTATTCTGTATGGTAACGTTCCCTGAAGGAAACTAATTTCCAGGTTTCCTAGGCGGTTTCTGTGTTCTCGATCAGACACCGGCTTGTGCTCACACACTCGGCTCCATTGTCTTCTCCGTCGTCTGGATCTCCCTCATGGTGCACGTGATTAGCTGGGGTCAGGAGCACCACCCTGGCTTACGAGGAGCCTGCATCGCTTGGTGGAGGACTGGGAAGGAAACTAACATCGATCTTGTGCCTACCCGGTGCCAGGCACAGGGCAGGGTGCTTAGTGAGGCTTCTCTTTATCTTTCATGATAATCTGTGAGTCCCCACTTTACAGATTGGGAAACTGAGGCTCAAATGCTCATTGAAGAGTGTTGACTACAGGATCAGAATTAGAACAATGTGGAATGTGGTTCCTCTCTTTTGAATGCAAATCACCTTTTTTTTTTTTAATTGGATTAATCCACATGTCAGCTAAGCCCGCTGGTTTTTGAATAGCTTTCTGGAGAAAAAAATGAAACAAATTGATTTGAATAGGCATATTGCAATGAAGCAAGTATACGCCTTTAGTCAATTTATAAAACTGGAAAAAAATAGTGGCCGTGTTTATAAAAATGCGAAAGTAGTCATGGTCTTGTCGGAGTAATTTGCTAGCCAGGAGCCAGGTCCCATTTGCATGCTGTTTTGCGTTTGAGTAAGAGTGCAGGTGGCCTCTCCGTAGTCAGCCTGTTTGTGGTAAGAGGACATTGGGGAGCTCTGAGTGGGGGTGGCAATGCCTTCAGTGTGTCACTTACTGAGACGGTGTGAGGATGGCCATCCAGAGGTCACTACCGCATCAGGCCCTGATTGGGTAACAAGGTCTGGCAGTAGGCTCCCCAGCAGAAGCTCTGCCGGAGTGAACGCTGTAGAACACGCCGATGAGGAAGCATGTGGGAGAGCCCGGCATCTGCATCCATGGCTGATCCCAGAGCGTGTTCGACTCTGGTCGCCATGGACTCGTGTTCGACTCTGGTCGCCATGGACTCTTCTTGCTCTAGTTTTCTTTTTTCTTCCTAGAACATCCTTGATCCCCTCCCCCCCCAGATTTAGCCCCATATTCCTGTAGGGCCAAGATCAGGGGCTTGGACTCATGCAGACTTGGGCCCACATCTCAAGACCATGTGTATTAATATTTTTGAGCTTTCCTGAACTTCAGTGTCCTCATGTCTGAGATGAGGGCAGTTAGACCGAGGTATGGCTTACTGTCTGCATGGGTTAACTTGCCAGTAGAGCCCGCAGCCTGTTCCCTGTGTGAGTGCTCTAGTGGGGCTGTTACCACTGCCACCGCCTCCCCTCCCTCCACTCACTAAGACGCCTCCATTTCCCCCTCCTCACCCCCCCCCATCTGCTAAGTAGTGTTGGCATTTGGGCGGCCAGACAGGGTCTGCTGAGAGAACAGCTGTGGTGTCTGCAGAGGAGCAGCTGTGGCGGCTGGACCCGTCTGGTTCCCAGAAGTCAGGCCTTAGGGGCTTTGTTTCTGAGCGGAAGCTCTGAGCACACGCTCTCTTGACTGAGTCAGCCTTAATGGCGACTTTCGTTTGCCACGTTTGGTATGGCTCCTCCGTTGGCAGGAGGGTGTGAACGTACAGATATTGTGTTTGTGTGTGTGTCTATCTCCTGCATGTATGCCCGCGGGTACATCGACATGCAGGTGTGCATGTCCAACGTGTTTGCACGTGCAAGTTTGTGCATTTGTTATTTCAGGTATTGTGTGTGCACAAGGCTCTCTCTCTTCTGAGTGACACTCAGACAGCACAAATACAGAGGAAATGAGTCTCAGGTTGAGTCTGGAGTGTTCTGGATGCATGCGAGGAGACCCAGGCTGGTCCAGCTAGTGTGCCCACCCTGTAATTGCTCAAATCACACCCTGTTGGGCATTTCCTGACATCCCCCCCCTGCCTGGGATGCTGTTTCTTCTGCCCTTGGTCTTCTGGAATCTGCCTTTCCCTTCAAAGTCCAGTCTAAATCCTGTCTCCCCCATAAACTCTCCTGATCTACCTCTCAGCCCCTCCTGCTGGCTCGACCCACCCAGCACTTCACTGTCCACACTGCCATACTAGTTGGCATTTTTTCATGGGTGGTGGCTTCATCTCCTCCACAGGGTTGAAAGCTCCATGTGGGTAGGGCCCTTAGGACCTGGGTTAGCTCTGCCCTTCCTCCCGTGTTTAGCACAGAGCGAAGCCAGCAGGACATATTTGGTGACTTGTGGTGGGCCATGTGTCCCTCCCCTGAACTCCGTTTTCCATCTCCTCTTCACTTCCAGTTACAGTTGACCCCTCTAGACTGGAGATTAATTTAGAGGGTAAAGCGTCCGATACCGTGTTTAAAGACGGGACCAATCCTCCTCCCCTGTGCCCCTTTTTTCCTTTAAATATCTAAGCAAAGAAATGACATCAACTCTCTGAAGTTCATTCCTTGCTTAAAGATGTCCCTATCTGGAATTTTCTTGTTTAAATTATCAGATTTTTATTTATTTATTTAAAAGAATTATTTAATTTAATTTTATTATTACTTTTTAGTTTGACCAGAGAGAGACAGAAATAGAGACAGAAGAAGAGAGAAAGAGTGAGAAAGCAAGGAGCCGGGTCCAGGACTCGAACTGTGGTTGTCCATATGGGAGTCCAGCACCTTAACCACTACATCACCTACTGGCCCCCAGTGTTTTGTTTTGTTTTGTTTTTTTTTTAATGAATTTTTCCAGCACTTACAGACTCCCTTCGTATGTAAGGAAACACAGATCAGGTTTCTAAGCATTGAGGGAGCTGTGCCAATCTGTAACTAAAATCTAGGACATTTGTTTTCCGGCAGTCTTATAAAGCCCAAGGGATAGGGAGCTGTTAAATAGTTTCAGCAATGCAATCAGTGCCATGGATTTGTAGACACAGTGAAGTGGAAACGGAGAGAGATGTTAAGCATTTAGTGTGAGTAGGGTGGACGGCCCATCTGAATAATTCTGCTTCCTGAAGTCCAAATTGAACACTTGGAACGATGGCTAAACTGTCTGTTTGCTTATTTATTTATTTATTTATTGGCTTTAACCACATGCTATGTTCTCCGACTTCAGTACGATCGCTTTCAGCTAAGTAAAATTTCTTTTTTTAAAAAAATGAATTATATATTTATTTAATTCCATTTATTATTTTTATTTTTTAAATTTGACCAGAGAGAGACAGAGAGAGAGAGAGAAAGGAAACGGAACATGAGAAAGGAAGCCACCAGCTCTGGGACTTGAACTGTGGTCGGCCATATGGGCATCCAGTGCCTTTAACCACCACACCACCCGCTAGCCCCAGTTAAGTCAAATCTCTAACTAAGTCATTAACCTTTAATTAGCCAAAACATTTTTGTGCTTGCCAGGAAAAAGCGACCATTGACCCACAAGTCTAAATGAGTGCCCCTGTTTAAGTTTCTAAAAGCTACTTCCAGAATGTCTTCAGTCTGATGGCATACTGAGTTTGTGGTCCATCATATGAAGATGTACACGTAAGCCATTGAGAGAAGAATGGTAAAACGGTACACGAAACTGGACTTGAATCATGTGCGGCTATCTCGAGGCAAAGACGTGATGCAGAAACTAGATCTCCTCATGTTCTGTTGGTATCTTTGTTTCTTTTTAGAGAGAGATTTTTGCTATAGGGCACATGTGCTCACCAGAGAGATAGAGACAAAGAGATAGAAATCGAGAAATTGCCCCTCGGGGAGATGGCCATGTTGTAATCCCTTCTCCTCCATTCTTTTCTTGGAATTTTGGGCACACATGAACAAATGCCCAGTGTGAGTTTTCAACTGCCGGGTCCAGGACTCAAACCATGGTCCACAACATGATAGTTCAACAACGTAACCATTACACCATCCACTGGTTCCCTGTTGGTGTCTTAATGCAAGAACATTAAAAATAGACCCAAAGCTTCTACGGTGGTGGAACATCAATTTATTTCATTGATCTTTCTGGATCCTGTCGATGTAATACTCCGAAGGACTCATGTCGTATACATTTTAAAGGGACGGGTGCCGAAGTGTCTGCATGTTTATCATTTGCACGTTTTGCTGTTTAGACTCATATGTGTGAAGAAAACTAGAGTAGGCATCAGTTTCTCGGCTGAGTCACAGCAGAGTGTGGTGCCTGGGGAATTAGACAGACTCCGTGTGCACCCTGTCAACACACAGCGTCTCTACACCGACAGCCCTGCACTGTGGACTCCGGTCTTCAGCAGGTGCCGACCGGGCTCTGCAGAGCCCAGAGTTACTGGAGAACGTGTTGCTGCTGTTTATTTCAGTCTGCTTTCTGGAGGCGGAGAGCAGACCAGGGCAGTCTTGCCACACTAAGAGCACAAAGGCACAATGGTTTCTGGTGAACTTTCGTTGATGAGAAAATGAACTAGATCATAGTCAGTCATTCCCTACATGTGCTGGTGCCCTGAGATGTTATTTCATGATCCGTAAGGGCTGGAGCTCAGTGTCTTTATGTAAAAGAGTATTTACTGAGTCCTGTTTCAGAGTCTCAAGTAATAGAATCCATTTTTCCAGACCATTAAGGAACTTCTTGGGACAAGACTAAGTATCCTTTTTTTTTTTTGGAGAGATTTTGCTATTGGAGTGTGTGCATTTGCTGGAGAGACAGAGATAGATAGAAAGCAAGAAATCACCCCCTGGGGGGAATGGCTATGCTGCAGTCCCTTCTCCATTCTCCTCTTGGGATTTTGGGCATACGCACACACCCAGTATGAGTTTTCAGCTGCTGGGTCTGGGACTTGAACCATGGTCTACCACATGGGAGTCCACTGCCCTAACCACTGTACCACCTGCCAGTCCTGTCAATATTCTCTTTAGTCACTCTCACTTCGGCATGTAATTCATTCATTCAGCAAAGATTTCCTGGGTATCCTCTTTGTGCCTATTCTGGGAATTGGGGCCAAGCAGTGGATGGGCAGACAATAAAGAGCTGTCCTTGTGGTGCTTCTGTGGAGAGAGGACTCACAGCCAATGACCAACGGCCCGTGTAAGTCTGTGCCGAGCCAGTGAGGGTGTGCGGTGAAGTTCAGCATGCAGAGAGCGGAGGAGTGCAGAGGTCAGGGAAGGTGGCGAGAGCTGACAGACCAAGTGGAGTGAACCATGTGGGTATCTGGGCATGAGCTGTCTAGGCAGGTGGACGGGGCAGAGGCCTCTGGGTAGAAGCATGCCCTGCCAGCTTGAGGAGGAGCGGGGAGGCCAGTGTGGCTGGAGACGCGGCCACCTGGGTGAGAAGTGGCAGTATAGACCGTGGAGTCTCACGTGCCCTCAGAGGGGCTCTGGCCTTTATTCCAGGAAGCAGGGGACGCCATCTGAGGTTTACCGCGTGTACATAGAGAGCTCGAATGCGTGTTTTGAAAAGAAAACTTACGGTGTGATCTAGCATCTGTAATGTTATCGTTTATGATTAAACACATGTCTTTGTTTCAGAAATGACGACGCAAGTTAGAAATGGAATCATGTTGTGATGAGGTTTAGGGCTCTGGTTCAAGTCATTAGCTATATATATTTTTTAAGCACTATTTTATTAACTTTATTTTTACTTATTTATTTATTTATTTTTAATTTGACCAGAGATGGGGGAGAGAGAGAGAGAAAGGGAAAGAAACTAAGCTGCTGGGCCTGGGACTTGAACCATAGTCAGCCATGTGGAAGTCCAGTGCCCTTAACTACTATGCTACCTTGACCCCCATTAGCTCTCTTTAAAGGGACTTCAAGGTGACAGGACATGGAGGTAATAACTACATTAAAATGTGACTTTCTGGTTCTAGTTCTTTGGCCAATAACCATATAAAAGCATTGCCAAGGGATGTCTTCAGTGACCTGGACTCTCTGATTGAACTGTAAGTAATGAAGCTGAGCGTCTGAACGCTTGTCGCTGTGCCCCTGTCTGCCAGCCCCCTCCCTTTTCCCACCTTTCTTCTATGCTGTGGCTTAAAGTCTACAACGGAGTGCATATTGGGAAACACATAGTTTGTATTGTGTTGGATTTTGCCATTCTATAATGTACATGGTGCCATGAGGCCAATACTAGACTATTAGGTGTGCTGGGTGGGAGGTCTCCCTTCACCATGACGGTGTATCACCCTGGTTGTTCTCATGTTTGTCACTTTTTACTAGACGTCATGTAATAAGATCTTTGTGTTTGTGAAAACTGTCTTCCTATAATGTCCTAGTTTTGTTTACATTGGGGTGTTCTTTCATCCCTTCCTCATGCTTTTCCAGCATGGCAGGGTGACAGTTTTGTGAAAGTTTGGAGAGATAGTGACATGTCATCTGTGATATTATATAAGGAGTCTTCAAAAAGTTCATAAAAACGAGTGTCACTAAAAAAAATGGATTTCAAAATTTCTTGTATTTTAATTTCATTTTTTCCATAATATTATTTTTTAAGTTTCCTTTTGGGCACAAACACTTGCTGGAGAGAGACAGAGAGGGAGAGAGAGGGAAAGTGAGAAAGCACTAAAGCACTGCTCAGGGGAGATGGCCACACCACAATCCCTTCTCCACTCTTAGGATGTTAGGCAGGCACGCACACGTGCCTGGCGTGTTTTCAAGCCATCAGATCCAAACTCGAACTGCACGGGATTCAGCGGCCTTAACTACCCTGCCACTTCCTGGCCCACCAGTAACATTTTTTCCCTTCCTTTTGAGTCTTTGCCATAAGGCCCAGGCACTTGCCAGAGAGACAGAGAGAGACAGACGGAAAGAGAGGGAAAGTGAGAAATCAACTCCCGGGGGGGATCGTCACACCACTTTACTCTCCTTCTGGGGTTTTGGGCATGCACACACACATGCCTGGTGTGATTCCCAAGCTGCCGTGTCCAGGACTTCGACGTGGTTGGCCACGTGGGAACCTAACAGCTATCAAACCACGTGCTGGCCCCTCCGCAGACTTTTCCAAGTCCCCTCATATAGTTAAAATCTTGAGCACTGAGGAGCATTAAATGAAGTCAGTCATAAATACAAGAAACAGGACGGGTTAGATACAATAGCTTTTTCCATTCCATCTTCAAGGGTTAATATACCAGGTTGTTAATAATTCTAAAGCTTCGTCTTACCACCAAACATGTGAGACACCTCTGTTTCTCTGTGTATCTGTTGGTGCTTTGTTTTTGTTTGTTTGTTTGTTTTAGAGACTTAAGGGGTAATAAATTTGAATGCGACTGCAAAGCCAAGTGGTTGTATCTGTGGTTGAAGATGACGAATTCCACCGTGTCCGATGTGCTGTGCATTGGCCCACCAGAATATCAGGAGAAGAAGCTGAACGATGTGACCAGTTTTGACTATGAGTGCACGACCACAGGTATTCAGCACCTGAATCGCCAGAGGAAATACTTGGAATAAACCCTTTGGTTTTCTGTTAACCTGTCCCCAGGGAGTGGGGGAGAAATGAATGTACACGTTTTCTATCATCATTATGCTGAAGAAAGTGTATGCTTCTGACTGAAATGAATGGGTGCGTTGACGGAAAGAACCAATTCTGCAAACATAATTAATGTGTTTTATTTTTAAGCACGAATTTGAGTGACCTAAGCCCGGAGAAGAGGCAAAACATGCCTCTCTCTCTGGGGTGATCAGGTACAGGGTTCCTTTTATTTGATTTTGAGAATGAGAGTTTAGTGAAGAGCTTTCCACTGGCCTAGCCCAAAAAGACAGGACATGTGGAAGCAGGACTTGGAAGTTTTGAGAAGGAATTAGTGAAGAGTGTACTTTAACAGAGATAAGGGGACTTGTGTGTATCAGTCACAAGATACTGTCCCAAGGACAGGATGATGGAAGGGTCCTGTTATCAATGAATCAAAATGATGGTGTTAATGATTGTGGCATGACTCACCCATTACAGGGATACTATGCCAGGGACAGGATGTAGGAAGATTTTTATTATCAAATGGGTCAAAATGATCTGTTAATGTCTATGGGTGTGACTCACCCCAGGGCCTCTGGAAGGGATTTTAGAAATAGGAAAAAGCGGCCAAACTTTTGTCCTCAGATGTGTTAAGGAAAATATTTCGATAGTTAGAAAGGGTCTTGTTAATTGCATTGACTTTAATTTTGATTCTTTACAAAATTCAAATTTTTCGAAGGGTTTCTTCCTTTTTTAAAAGCTAAAGTAAGAACTGGTGCATTTGGCATGAGACCATTTCCAAAATCGGTCTGGTTTTGTGGTGGAAAGTCAGTGAAGAGAGGCCCACATTACTGTTATAGCCGTCCGCTTGCTTTATAAGATGAAGTTTACCAGAAATTTATTTTAAATTTAATAAATGCCAGAATTTAAAATCTATAAGTTGTTCCATGTAAAAAGAAGTAAGTTATAGCCACTGGCTAAGTAGAAAATAGAAGTTAACGATTATGATAGTTGTTAAAGGGAAAAAATCTGGGGACCAGCAGTTAGTGTAATGGCTATGTCGCTGAACTCCCATGGAGTCGACTGCAATTCAAGTCCCAGACCCGGTGGCTTAAACTCATGCCGGGCACATGTGCGTGCGTGCCCAAGATCCTGAGAGGAGAATGGAGAAGGGATTGCGGCGTGACCATCCCTCCTGGGGGGTGATTTCTCGCTTTCTATCTCTCTGTCTTTCTGGCGAGCGCACATGCCCTATAGCAAAAAAAAAAAAAAAAAGGAAAAACCTGCGTGGAGGAAAAAAATGTAAAGGAAGTTTGATTTTGTCTCCCAGGACCTGCCTTAAGGTTTCAGTGTGTGCCTTTTTGAGGTTAGAACATAAAATATTACTCTAACACTGCCTTTGCTGTCACAGCCTGTGGGAAACCAGGTACTATCTCCATATGAAAGATTCAGGCGGTTTCCACATTTTAAAGGAGAGGATCAATCCACAGTAGGAAACCTGCTTACCAGACGCACAAAAACAAACATTTAGGCAGAGCGTTGACATCGCCAACGCCTCAAGGTATGTTAGGGGAAGCAGCAGGGCGAGGACTTAGAAAAGAGTTTCAGAAACTCTAAAGACAAGAAGACGCCAAGAACTAAATATCACATTTAGGCCAGTCCCTGCCACTGCCCTCCAAACACACGAATGAGGCCCCACAAAGTTAAAATGATTTTTAGATATTTTCATTTGTAATAACGGACCTTATAGATTCGGTTTTGTCCTGATAGAAAACCTGAAGTCTCTCAGAAATGCCCTTGTCGTTCGACGTGGAGCAGGAGTTTATTCAGCTGTGTAATTGGCGGGTGGCCCTTAGTCAGCTGAGGCCACCGAGAGGTTATTTATTGTCCTTTCCGGCCACCGTAATAAATCAGAGGTCGTAGTCAATGACATTTGCACCGGAAGGTTCAAGACCATTTGGTATTAAATTGCTAAGCCAGAACTGGCAGAGGCTCCTCTCTGCCTCTTCTCTTGTGTTTCTGGAAAGCTCTCTAAACCCCAACGTGAAATGGTCAGCTTTCTACTGTTTTATTCACATGTGGCTATTGTGTGAGAGAACTTGGTCAGTCTCTGGGAGAAGGGACATCGGTTACTAAGGGCCTTGAGAGCAGGAAACATAACATCTGGGGGCCAGCATTGGGTGTGGTGGTTAAGGTGCTGGACTCACATGGCCAACCACAGTTCACGTCCCAGACCCGGACACTTGAAACTCACACCGGGTGCATGTGCGCGTGTGCCCAAACTCCCGAGAGGAGAATGGTGGAGAAGGGATTGCAGTGTGGCCTTCCCCTCTAGGGGGTGATTTCTCATTTTCCCTTTCTCTGTCTCTCTTTCTCTCCAGCAAGCACACTTGCCCTATGATAAAAATAAAAGAAAGAAAAAGAAAGAAAACGTTACTTCCGATCTTAGGGCCCCATGGGTTATAAAATGATCTGGGCTCTGTGACGTGTGACCAGAGTGGAGGTGGCATGGGACTGAGGAAACGAGGAACTGACAAGAATCCATGGGGTGGCATGAACCCCCTAGCACATCTAGGGCCTCTTGTCTGTCGTCTGTGTATTCGTCTTCCCTGAGTTTCCTCCTGCAATGTCGGAAGTCCGCACAGGGCTTCCTGGAAGAGGGAGATGGCGATTCTGTCTTGCTGATGCTTCTCGGCCCTGTAAGCCCCGTGAGCACGTTGGCTCTTGCCCACAGTTTCTGCCATCAGGATCACAGGGCAGGGCGACCTGGTGACCCACCCCCAGTGTAGGTGAACAGACCGCCTTGGGTGGATCAAGCCCTGGCCTCTGTGGTTTACCAAAGCCTGGGAGGATGCGTGTGAGAGCGGGCGGAGGGGAGAAGGCCACGTTCCAAGCTCCTGATCCGGCATTCATGTCCTCCCTGGAGGGAACGAGCAGCTGCATTTCCAGAGTACGTTTCCCTCCTAGCTCAGATGTTCAGGAATGGAGTACACATCTCCCCCTGTTTTTCCCAGAGCGAGGAAGATACTGTCACCATGCTGGTCCTCGCCAAAGGGGTGTAATTAATCCCACAAAGCCACCACCGGGCTGTCGCAGCTCTGCAGAGTAACCACAGTCCTTCCCAGTCCTCGCCTTCAAGTCTATTTTTAACCACGTCAGAAATCCCGTTACCTCCCGATGAGTCCCGTGTTAGGTGGATAATTCACTGAATTCCTCCGAGGGAGTAGATTTTGCATCCTAATTGTCCTGTTACTCCCCCGTTTCAGGGCTGATGAAAATGCAAAGAGAAATAATGCATTCACGTGCAGTTTCTCCCCACCAGGAGCGGCATCATGTATAATTTATTTTCTGCAAGTGCTATAAATAGCCACGTAAAAATCTGCGGACTCCAGGGGGAGAAAGGCCGAGACGGGAAGGGCCCCGCTGACATCACGGGCTTAATCCAGTGTGAATGGCAGTGGCAGTTCTTTCGGCCGGGAGTGCCATTAATATTTTACCACGGGAAAATTGATGTCACATCAGTATATGTGTTCTTCGAGGTCTTTCCACAATGAACGTGCGCTTTGCCGTTGGTGAAAGGGAAATTAAAACGGGGATGGGAGAAGATTATAAATCCTTTCGGTCCCTTCTTCGACACACACTAACGTACGCATCGTTGGTTTTCTTTTTATTCTCTTCCTCTTTTTCCTCCTTTTTCTGGGGGGTTGGGTGGCGAGAGAGTAAGGATGGAAGGAGGGGTCTCCTATGAATTAGATTTGCAATTCACATTTCATAGTCTGGTATACCAGATAGTATATAGAAAATACTATGAAACCACTGTTTTGGGAAATAAATGAAAACGGGAGCTGGAATGGCTAGGTTTGTAAAGTGTTCTCATGCCAGCAGCTCTTTTTCATTCTAAGAGGCGTCCGTAAAAATGAAGACTTACTGGTCTGCCGTGTAATCGGCCTGAGTTTTGCTCATGGGGACCCTTGGGAACGAGGGGGACGAGGGAGCTGTGGGTACCGTGGGAGCGCTTCGAACCTTTAGCGGGCTCGGATGGGACAGATGCAGCTGGAGATGCAGGAGCGGGTCTGTGGCATCGTGGCTGTGATGGGAGGAAGGCAGCTGGAATCTCTGGGTCCATTAGGTCCTGGAGAAGGAGTGCGCGGTTCTGCTGCATCGTCTTTCTCTACCCGTGAGCGCAGAAACCTCCAAAGCCTCCTGGAGTCCATGAGCGCTTTCAGGTTCCTGAACTCGTTGCACCAGTGCCCATGAGAATGAGTGGAAACTCACGTTTTTCTGCCTTAGTCTTGGCTCAGGCAACACTGGTATTTCGGGGAGGTGGTTCGGGGTGAGGACAGGAGCCATCGCCTGGACTGTGCGTGTTGCATGTCTAAAGCTGTCGGGCAAGCCCATGGTGGGCCCATCCTGCGTTCAGTTCCTACAGCAGCTGCACGAGTTCCATGGTCCCCTCATTTCTCTGATGATGAAGAGGAGGCACATGGTCCTTGCCCTAGGTCCCAGAGTGGCAGCAGAGGGCAGGCCTTGCAGCTCAGTCCGTCTTTCCAGATCTCACTCTGATATTATCTGGAGCCATGGTGGATAGTAAGAGTACATAACAGCACCTGGCTATGAGCCCAGCGAGTCAGGAAAGGGGCTTGAGGATTGGACTGGTCAGGGAAGGTCTTTTGGAGGCTTGAAGCTGGGGCACGGGTGGGGGTGGATAAGACCTGGGTGGGAAGAGGCGGGCAGAGCCGGGCTGCCCTAGTATGGATGGCTTCTGTAGCCAGGGTCCACCATCTGCCCCACGTCTCACTCCCATCTATGGCCGGAGAGAGAGCTTAAACTTAAACTTCACTTCTTAAACATTGTCACTGTGGGGTTTCCTGTTTGTTTGTTTGTTTTTGCGATTCTTCCTTGGATTCCTCTAGGTACCCCACTGCCAGTTACCCTTGCTTCCGGGGGCTTCTTCCCCCTCTTCCTTGGTCACCACACATCCCCACCCAGACTCGGGCAGTGGGTCAGCAGGAGCTCAGAGGGACAGCGTGCACGAGATCACTGGTTCCTCGCCGAGTGAGGACACGGTCCGAGACAGGGTTCTGTGCCTGCTCGCTGTCCACACCCGAGGGACCACCATTGCCCACCCCCACCCCAAGTCCAGAAGCCAGCAGTACCTGTGGGTTAACTCCCCACGGCGGGCTCCCCAAACCTTTGGGCTTGCAGCAGAGGGGAAGGTTTTGTTGCCAAATGTGCGTCATGCTGGGTGGAGACTGCTGTTTGTTTTAGGTCCTCGGTGGCATTCCCCAACATGGGCCTCAGCCCCCTGGAGAGTGTCAGGGAGTGAAGGGGTCCCATCCTCAGGGAAGTCTGAGGAGCCCATGTCAAAGGAAAGCCAACAGGCTTCTCTTCCTGCAGTGGGTGCTTGGAGGGCAGACTGGAAACACAGTGTCCCCGAATGAACTGGACCGTGGGGCCCCTTGTCATCGAGTGTTGGTGTGACAGTTTCAAGAGGAGGGGCTCTGCAGCATCTGTCCTGTCTTTAAAAAAGCCAAGTCTCACCGAATGTGTTTAGATCCCCAAGGTCCTTTAGCCGCAGTGCTGGGGCCGGCTACCCGCAGGAAGCTGTCCCAGGGCTGTGCGTCGGCGTGCCCTCCCCCGGGAAGCGCAGGCTGCTGTCTGTGTGGCCTCCTGGCCTGCCCGGTCCCCGTGGGAACTGACGACAGGGCGGGGCCCTGGTGGCCGCAGTGCCCGCAGATGGTACTCACGCCGCGTTTCCCCACCCCAGACTTCATCGTGCACCAGACGCTGCCCTTCCAGTCGGTGTCGGTGGACACGTTCAGCTCCAAGAACGACGTGTACGTGGCCATCGCCCAGCCCAGCATGGAGAACTGCATGGTGCTGGAGTGGGACCACATCGAGATGGACTTCCGGAGCCACGACAACATCACAGGTGCGTCGCCTCTGATCCGTGTGGGCGCCTCATGCCGGCATGGTCCCCAGCCCACGGGGACGGGGCGCTCTCCGTGACGTGGAGGGCACGGCTGTCCCACAGGGTCCGAGTCGGGTCGTGGCCCAGCTGCGTGGGCTCCGCTTTGCTCTCCGCGTGGTCAGTTATCGGTGACAGCGTAGCCTCGGGAGACGCCCCGTCTGTAGCCTGCGATCCTTCTGGGGAGGGAGAGGGCGGAGCTGTCGTGTCATCAGGCATTTTCTGGGAGCGGAGAAGTCGCTCTGAACATCCCGTGGTCCCTCTGGAAGTCCGAGATGGCACCTTCGAGCAGCTGGTGATGGCCTGGGCTTTGTTGGGTTGGTCACTAACTAACGTGCAGACACACCTGCATCCTGCAGCTTCTCATTGGTAACTAACATGCAGACACGCACGCACACACACAGACACACACACCCTATAGCTTCTTCATTGTTAACTAACAGGCAGACATGAACGCACACACACAGACACACACATGCACACGCACATACCCTACAGCTTCTTCATCGTTAACTAACATGCAGACACACACACACACACACACCCTATAGCTTCTTCATTGTTAACTAACAGGCAGACATGAACGCACACACACAGACACACACACCCTATAGCTTCTTCATTGTTAACTAACAGGCAGACATGAACGCACACACACAGACACACACACCCTATAGCTTCTTCATTGTTAACTAACAGGCAGACATGAACGCACACACACAGACACACACACCCTATAGCTTCTTCATTGTTAACTAACAGGCAGACATGAACGCACACACACAGACACACACACCCTATAGCTTCTTCATTGTTAACTAACAGGCAGACATGAACGCACACACACAGACACACACACCCTATAGCTTCTTCATTGTTAACTAACAGGCAGACATGAACGCACACACACAGACACACACACCCTATAGCTTCTTCATTGTTAACTAACAGGCAGACATGAACGCACACACACAGACACACACACCCTATAGCTTCTTCATTGTTAACTAACAGGCAGACATGAACGCACACACACAGACACACACACCCTATAGCTTCTTCATTGTTAACTAACAGGCAGACATGAACGCACACACACAGACACACACACCCTATAGCTTCTTCATTGTTAACTAACAGGCAGACATGAACGCACACACACAGACACACACACCCTATAGCTTCTTCATTGTTAACTAACAGGCAGACATGAACGCACACACACAGACACACACACCCTATAGCTTCTTCATTGTTAACTAACAGGCAGACATGAACGCACACACACAGACACACACACCCTATAGCTTCTTCATTGTTAACTAACAGGCAGACATGAACGCACACACACAGACACACACACCCTATAGCTTCTTCATTGTTAACTAACAGGCAGACATGAACGCACACACACAGACACACACACCCTATAGCTTCTTCATTGTTAACTAACAGGCAGACATGAACGCACACACACAGACACACACACCCTATAGCTTCTTCATTGTTAACTAACAGGCAGACATGAACGCACACACACAGACACACACACCCTATAGCTTCTTCATTGTTAACTAACAGGCAGACATGAACGCACACACACAGACACACACACCCTATAGCTTCTTCATTGTTAACTAACAGGCAGACATGAACGCACACACACAGACACACACACCCTATAGCTTCTTCATTGTTAACTAACAGGCAGACATGAACGCACACACACAGACACACACACCCTATAGCTTCTTCATTGTTAACTAACAGGCAGACATGAACGCACACACACAGACACACACACCCTATAGCTTCTTCATTGTTAACTAACAGGCAGACATGAACGCACACACACAGACACACACACCCTATAGCTTCTTCATTGTTAACTAACAGGCAGACATGAACGCACACACACAGACACACACACCCTATAGCTTCTTCATTGTTAACTAACAGGCAGACATGAACGCACACACACAGACACACACACCCTATAGCTTCTTCATTGTTAACTAACAGGCAGACATGAACGCACACACACAGACACACACACCCTATAGCTTCTTCATTGTTAACTAACAGGCAGACATGAACGCACACACACAGACACACACACCCTATAGCTTCTTCATTGTTAACTAACAGGCAGACATGAACGCACACACACAGACACACACACCCTATAGCTTCTTCATTGTTAACTAACAGGCAGACATGAACGCACACACACAGACACACACACCCTATAGCTTCTTCATTGTTAACTAACAGGCAGACATGAACGCACACACACAGACACACACACCCTATAGCTTCTTCATTGTTAACTAACAGGCAGACATGAACGCACACACACAGACACACACACCCTATAGCTTCTTCATTGTTAACTAACAGGCAGACATGAACGCACACACACAGACACACACACCCTATAGCTTCTTCATTGTTAACTAACAGGCAGACATGAACGCACACACACAGACACACACACCCTATAGCTTCTTCATTGTTAACTAACAGGCAGACATGAACGCACACACACAGACACACACACCCTATAGCTTCTTCATTGTTAACTAACAGGCAGACATGAACGCACACACACAGACACACACACCCTATAGCTTCTTCATTGTTAACTAACAGGCAGACATGAACGCACACACACAGACACACACACCCTATAGCTTCTTCATTGTTAACTAACAGGCAGACATGAACGCACACACACAGACACACACACCCTATAGCTTCTTCATTGTTAACTAACAGGCAGACATGAACGCACACACACAGACACACACACCCTATAGCTTCTTCATTGTTAACTAACAGGCAGACATGAACGCACACACACAGACACACACACCCTATAGCTTCTTCATTGTTAACTAACAGGCAGACATGAACGCACACACACAGACACACACACCCTATAGCTTCTTCATTGTTAACTAACAGGCAGACATGAACGCACACACACAGACACACACACCCTATAGCTTCTTCATTGTTAACTAACAGGCAGACATGAACGCACACACACAGACACACACACCCTATAGCTTCTTCATTGTTAACTAACAGGCAGACATGAACGCACACACACAGACACACACACCCTATAGCTTCTTCATTGTTAACTAACAGGCAGACATGAACGCACACACACAGACACACACACCCTATAGCTTCTTCATTGTTAACTAACAGGCAGACATGAACGCACACACACAGACACACACACCCTATAGCTTCTTCATTGTTAACTAACAGGCAGACATGAACGCACACACACAGACACACACACCCTATAGCTTCTTCATTGTTAACTAACAGGCAGACATGAACGCACACACACAGACACACACACCCTATAGCTTCTTCATTGTTAACTAACAGGCAGACATGAACGCACACACACAGACACACACACCCTATAGCTTCTTCATTGTTAACTAACAGGCAGACATGAACGCACACACACAGACACACACACCCTATAGCTTCTTCATTGTTAACTAACAGGCAGACATGAACGCACACACACAGACACACACACCCTATAGCTTCTTCATTGTTAACTAACAGGCAGACATGAACGCACACACACAGACACACACACCCTATAGCTTCTTCATTGTTAACTAACAGGCAGACATGAACGCACACACACAGACACACACACCCTATAGCTTCTTCATTGTTAACTAACAGGCAGACATGAACGCACACACACAGACACACACACCCTATAGCTTCTTCATTGTTAACTAACAGGCAGACATGAACGCACACACACAGACACACACACCCTATAGCTTCTTCATTGTTAACTAACAGGCAGACATGAACGCACACACACAGACACACACATGCACACGCACATACCCTACAGCTTCTTCATCGTTAACTAACATGCAGACACACACACACACACACACACACACACACACACACCCTACAGGGTGCGTGTGCCACAATTCCTTTTTTTCATTCTCCTCTCAGGAGAATGGGTGTGCATGCACACATGCCTGGTGTGGTTTTCTTAAAAAATTATTTTATTTATTCATTCATCTATTTTAATTTGACAGAGAGGGACAGAGTGAGAGTGAGTGAGAGAGGGCAAGTAAGAAAGTAAGCCTCCAGGTCCCAGACTCGAACCGCCATTGGCCACATGGGAATCCAGCACTCTTAGCTGCCATGCCACCTGCTGGCCCCGCCTGGTGTGTTTTTAAACCACCACATCCGGGACCCCACACTGCCTGGCTGGGTAATGCTTTTTTTTCTTTAAAAAAATCTTTTTCAGGTTTTTGCCATGTGTGCTCACTGGGGAGAGACAGAGATAGAGACAGAGAGAAGAAACGTGAGAAATCATCCCCCAGGGGAATGGTCATGCCTCAATCTCTTCTCCTTTAGTCTCTTGGGTTTGGGGCATGCGTGCACACATACCAACGTGCTTGTCAAACTGCTGAGTCTGGGTCTTGAACCATGGTTCACCTTTGTGGGAGTCCAGCATTTCAACCACTACACCACCTGCTAGTTCTGGTTAATGCTGCTTTCACTGTCATCTTGGGACCCCAGTGTCTTAGCACTACTAAAAACAGACTGTCTGCATATTTACTTTTTAAAGTAAGTACAGAAAATAAAGCCAGTCTTTCAAAGACTTCTCTCATCAAAGTGCAGTCTGACCACAATGCCAGCTTTAAAAACAGTGCTACCAAAGCCCAATTATCGCCCCATGAAAGGGTGTCCTGCATTTTTCTGTGGCAGTGAGAAGTAGTGGGGTGGAGGTTCTGCCCTGGAGGCATCTAGGGCTCTCAGGCAGAGTGGCTTTGCAGCTGGTGCAGGGGTGAGGGGAGGCGGAGTGTGTCATTCCACCCCTCGTAGCCCGCAGCCCCCAAGAGGTCTGTGAGACCCCCAAGAGGTCTGTGAGATGCACATCCAGACATTGGGAGATCCGCCTGGCCCTCTAGTGCTGAGTTTACCTTCCCAAGAGCTGCCCGTGGTGGCCTGGAACGTGGTGGCCTGGAACGTTTGGGGAGTTTGGGGAAGCAGCCGCGCCATGGCTGTGGAAGAGCAAGCAGGGAGCTGAGAGAGGGCTCCCATAGCCAGGGGCTTTTATTTCGCCTCCATCTTTTCCTGTACATGGAGAAGGGAGGGATAAGCTGGCCCCTCTGCCTTTTCTTTATTTTATTTTTTTTTAATTTTTAAATTTTTTATTTTTTTTTAAGAGAGAGTTTTAGGCCAGCAGGTAGTGTGGTGGTTAAGAGTCCTGGACTCCCTGATATGGCCGACTGTGGTTTGAGTCCCGGACCTGGCGGCTTTCTCTCTCTCTCTCTCTCACTTTGTCCCTCTCTAGTCAAATTAAAATAAATAAAGTTAAATAAAAATATTTTAAAGAAAGATTTTTTGCTGTGGGGTGTGTGTACTCACCGGAGAGATAGAGACAAAAAGCAAGAAATCACCCCATAGCGGGGATGGCTACACTGCAATCTTTTCTCCATTCTCCTCTCGGGATCTTGGGCACACAGCATGCATTTAAGCCGCCAGGTCTGGGACTCGAACTGCAGTTGGCTACGTGGGAGTCCAGCCACATAACCATTATGCCCCCTGCTGCTCCTGAGCTGGCCTCTCTGCCTTTGTTTCTCCCGTCTCTGCTCAGGTAGGAGGTGGGAGCAGAGCGAAGCCTCGCCCTTGCCCGAGCAGCTCCAATGCCGGGGTCTGCCGGGTGTCTGTCACTCATTCCATAGGTATTTATAAAGCACATGCTGGGGGCGAGCACTAGGGGCAAAACTCTTCGGATTGTCAAGATAACCGTTTCAGTTATTCAGTGCTATAGTCCTGACCACTGCCACCCCTGCCTACGTGTGGTGCACTGCACTAAAGAGGAGCCCCTGGCTGATCCCCAGTCGCCTTAAGGGCCTCAGTCTCTACTTCTGCATGGAGGCGCAAGCCCAGGTACTTGTGTTAACTGCTATCGAGTCAGAAAGCTTACGAGGTGTGGGGCTGGGGCTCGAACCCCAGACCACCTGGCTGGCTAGGCCCACAGGGTGAACACATTCATGTGCCTCCACTTGCTTTCCTTGGTCTTCTGGAAGAGGAGTCCAGATGTCTTTGAGAGCCCTCAGAACTTCCATTTCCCTGGCTCCTGAGGCCTGACGCCGAGCTTCTGGTTTTTTTCTTTTTTTCCCCCTCCCCTTACCCCACCAAGAAAAGCTTGTTTAATTGCCTTATTCTGCCATATGGAATGGGAAATTTATTTTTAAGGATTTAAATGCTTTAAATGTATTTTTCATTTAGTTTTAGAGTTTTAAATTCTTCTGCTATAGCATGTGTGCATTCACCAGAGACACAGATAGTGAAAGTGAGACATCACGTCCCGAGGGCATGGCCACATCGCAATCCCAATGTGGGATCTAGTGCCTTAACCTCCACGCTACCTGCTGGCCCAGTTTAAGTTCGTTTGTTTCTTTCTTTATGTGAGAGATTTTTGCTATAGGGCATGTGCACTCATTGGAGAGACACAGAGACAGACAGAAAGCAAAAATGTTACCCTCAGGAGGGATGGCCATGCTGCAGTCCCTTCTCATCCATTCTTCTCTCAGGAATTTGAGCATGCATGCACATACACCTGGTGTGAGTTTCCAGCTGCTGGGTGTGGGACTCGAACCACAGTTGACCATGTGAGAGTCCAGCACCACAACCACTATCCCACTTGCTGGTCCCTTAAATGTATTTCTTAATTGACAAATAAAAATTGTATATGTTCATTGTGTACCAAATTACTTTGAAATACATATATATTGTGGAATGGTGAAATTGAGCAAGCTAACGTACATGTTTTAATGTTATAAAGACAGTTCACTTGGTGTGTTAATCTCCTGAATCATACTTCTGTCTCTGAGACTTCAGAGACCCTAATGACCTCACATGCTCATTTCTATGAACGCACATTTTAAAAGATTTTTAAGAAAGATTTCGTTGTGTTAAATACACACAACATTAACTTCACCGCTGTAAGGCCCGTTCACGTTGTTGTGTGCTCCATCTCCAGAACTCTTTTCGTCTTGAACAACTGAAACGCAACACCCATGCAACAGCAGCTCATCGCTCTCCACTCTCCTCCTCTGGCAGCCATCCTTCTTTTTGGGAGGGAGAGATGTTTTTGCTATAGGGCGTGTGTACTCGTCAGAAAGACAGACAGAGACAGAGAGACAGAAAGTGAGAAATCACCCCCCAGGGGGGATGGTCACGCCGCAATCCCTTCTCCTCCATTCTCCTCTCGGGATCCTGGGCACGCACGCACACGCGCCTGGCGTGAGTTTTAAGCCACCGGGTCCGGGATGCGAACCGCAGTCGACTACGTGGGAGTCCAGCGACATAGCCATTACACCAGCTGCTGCTCCCAGCTATCCTTTTATTTTCCACTTCTGAACATCTGTCTGCGTGAGGTACCTTGGATAAATGGAGTCTTCCAGCATTTGCTCGGCCTGTTTCATTAGCATCGTGTTCTCAAGGTTCAGCCGTGTCGGGGCATAGCCAGTGCCTCCTTCCTTTGTGAGGCCGAATGAGATTTCATCACAGAGATAGTTCATCTCTTCACGTGTAGGTGGTTGCCTCTGTCTTTGGCTTTTGTGCGTAAAGATGCTCTGAATTTGGGTCTCTTCATGTGTTATGGCCGCTGTCACCATACGTGGGCTGGGTGGCTTAGTACCAACAGAGATTTCTTTCCCCTGGTTCCGGCGGCTGGGAAGGCTAAGATCAAGAGACCAGATTCCAGGTCTGTCTTCGAAATTGCCTGTCTTTTCGGTGTGTCTACATGGTGGAAGGGCACAGGGACCTTTCTGGGATCCCTTTAAAAGTCTATGGATCCCATCTAATCACCTCCCAAAGGCCCCCACCTCCAAATACCATCACGTCGGAGACTGGGTTTTGACATACGGATTTGGGGGGCACGCAAGCATTCTTTCAGAAGCATTGGGTGTTCGATGATCTCTTTGAAGCAATGCTTTCTGTTTTGGGGGGTACATAGTGTGAGATGGAATTGCGGGGACATAGGTTCATTCCATGTTTCATTTTCCAGGGACCTCCCCACGTTTTCCATAGAGGCTGCACCATTTTGCATCTCCACCAATGGGATACCAAGATGTAGTCTCGCTGTGGGGTGTGTTTACACTGTGGCCACACTAATCCCCCTTTCTTTCGGGGTGCAGGGCAGTCCATCGTGGGCTGTAAGGCCATCCTCATCGACGACCAGGTCTTCGTGGTGGTGGCCCAGCTCTTCGGCGGCTCTCACATCTACAGGTACGACGAGAGCTGGACCAAGTTCGTCAAGTTCCAGGACATCGAAGTCTCGCGTATTTCCAAGCCCAACGACATCGAGCTGTTTCAGATCGAAGACGAGACGTTCTTTGTCATCGCAGACAGCTCCAAAGCGGGGCTGTCGACCGTGTATAAATGGAACAGCAAAGGCTTCTATTCTTACCAGTCCCTGCACGAGTGGTTCAGGGACACGGATGCTGAGTTCGTCGACATAGACGGAAAATCGCATCTCATCCTGTCCAGCCGCTCCCAGGTCCCCATCATCCTGCAGTGGAATAAAAGCTCTAAGAAGTTCGTCCCACACAGCGACATCCCCAACATGGAGGACGTGCTGGCCGTGAAGAGCTTCAGGATGCAGAACAGCCTGTACCTGTCCCTCACCCGCTTCATCGGGGACTCCAGGATCATGAGGTGGAACGGCAAGCAGTTCGTGGAGATCCAGGCGCTTCCGTCCCGGGGCGCCATGACCCTGCAGCCCTTCTCCTTTAAAGAGAACCACTACCTGGCCCTGGGCAGTGACTACACGTTCTCCCAGATCTACCAGTGGGATAAGGAGAAGCAGCTCTTCAAGAAGTTTAAGGAGATCTACGTGCAGGCCCCTCGCTCCTTCACCGCGGTCTCCACCGACCGGAGAGATTTCTTTTTTGCATCCAGTTTCAAAGGGAAAACAAAGATTTTCGAACATATCATTGTGGACTTAAGTTTGTGAGGGTGTGACCAGTAAAGTGAAAAGAGATGTAGCCTTAGGTCTCCCGAGAGAGGAGCGAGAAGGGGAAAAATAAAAGTACCAGCCCAGCTGAGAGCTCGGACATTCCAAACGCCCTGGGGGAGTAGCTAGACGTTTGCAGATCGGTAGAACTCACATTTTAATCAGGGATTGCATTTCTTGGCTAACTGCATGACATGCCCACCCTGCCATTTACAAAGACCTCTGTCAGTCCGTAATTCCTGGGGAGAGAGCCGTCAGCATTTACTCTTAGCATCTGGAAAAGCAACGTGCTTTTCTATCTTTCTAAGGAGGAAAGAGAACATGGGATAAGAGGGGGCAGCTCTGATAAATGAAATAAAAGCAAAAACAGAAACAACTGAACTATGGGCCCTTTTCATTCCATGTTAGCCTCGGAGATTCGCTGAGGGTGAGTTAAAAGTCTGACGACACCCAGCAGGGCCATTTTGTCCTGCTGGTTCTCTGAAAGTGACACCCGGCCCTCTTGCATGCTCCTCCTGACAGCACCGTGGTATTCCTGGCCCCCACAGATGCTCGTCCTGGGATGCGGACAGTGGAATGTCTGACATTGCTTCCTCTACCATGGGAAGATGTCCTGGTGACACAGATCCGGGCCCAGGACGGGCTGTTGGCTCTGAAGGGAGACAAAGGCGTTGGCCCCTCTCCCTTGCAGTTTGAAGCTGACCCCGAGGTGGCTGGAGCAATCATGCTTCTTTGATGCCCTCCATGCCTCCGCTGCCCTCTGAACCCATGCTTTGAGCTGAGGGTTACCCACAGACAGGCCGGAGACCAAACGGTGCTTTTTATTCTGTCCCTCAGAGGGCTGGACCAGGCATTTCCGTTTGGTGAGCTTTGGGTAGGATTTTTGAAGTGAGGTTTCTATGGAGTCAAAGGGACTTTCCACAGATCGCAATGTGCTTTGAAATCCAGAGGTGGCCTTTTGATTCATGCGTGTCCTTGCCCTCTGGAGGACTTCGTGTTCCAATGCCTGAATGCCCACGTGCCCACTGCCTCCCTCCCTGCGCCATCGCCGTCCCGCTTTGGCCCTCGCTGCGTCGCTGCTGCCGTCCCCAGATGACAAGCCAGACCCCTCCAGACCAGGACGCTTCCTCCTGTCCCAGCACTTGTCACAGGATGCCCCCAGCCCCCACGCGCTTCCCCAGGGCCACATGCTGCCAGCAGGTTATCCTGTGTAGGGACCGGCTTCGGAGCCAGGCAAGCCGACTGCGTGGACCAGATCAAAGCGGGCCTCGGTGGTGCGGCCAGTAGGAACTCGCGGGTCTGCTTTTGCGGGAGGTCCTAGTGGGTGTTCTGCCAGCTTTGCCGGCCCAGACGGAGAGTATGGGTGGATGTTGGCAGGGGAGGCCCTGACAGAGCAGCCCCGTGATTGCTCTTGTAGCCGTGAAAGCAGCGCCACCTCATGGTCCCCGAGCGCCCTTTCTCCACGACGGCTGCCCTCTCAGGGCAGGTAGGTGTTTGGCACGGGTGTGGCTGTGTTCCTTATTTTGTGGCGTGTAAGCAGTACAGACGAGGCGATGAATAGCACTCTGAGAACGACGCGTTGGTGCGACATCGCTGTGGCTCTTGGGTACGTTCTGGGGCCGTGGGCTGAGGCGCCCAGTCTACCAGACCACGGAACTAACTCACATACACCATGTGGCTTGGAACTGTTCTTCTGAGCACCAAGCAGACACAGCGGAGGTTTGTTTCTATCTCTGAGTGTGACCCCTCGTCCTCCTGCACTCTTCGGCCTCCTGGTTTGTCTGACTTGACTAGACACGGCCCGGGCCTTACACTAGAGGCCAGGATCAGGCTAGGTCTACTCTTCCTCTGGCTGGAAAGATGGGCCGTTCTTTCTGAAGCTCGGAGCCCCTCGGAGAAGCCGAGGTGGAGAAGTGGGTACTTGGCACACAGCGTAGGGGACGTTGCACCAGGTTGCAATGGTGTACCTAATCTTAGCTGCTTATAAAGAAGGCAGCTAGGATCGCTTTCACAGAGTTGCCACTGCAGAGCAGGGTGCCAGGCTCCCAGCCGTACCACTGAGGGTGAAGTCAGGGATAAGCCATCTGTACTCACCCCTGGGGTAGCATGGCCTGGAATCTGGAATGCCAGGAAACTCAGGGTCCTGGGCGTGGAATGGGAATTTGGGGAGTCCAGACGGAGCACTAGAGGGAGAAAGTAAGAACTAAACCAGGTTGGAGGGGTGGCTGAGAGGGCGGGTGGTCACCGACCTCATCTGCAATCAGGCCATCCTTCTGTTTGCTTTTTGAAGAATTTCAAGCAAGAACAGAGCTTGTGGTCTACAGGGTGCCCGTGCCGTGGGAGGGGATATATACTCCTGGCCAGCTTACTAAAGGAGCATAGGTGTTCTTGGCAGAAGGTGGCGGAAGCTTTGCTTCATTAATCTTACTGCTCCCTCCAATCCCTGAAGTTTTAAAACAATTTCTCTAAGAAGCTTTCTTCCAGTAATAATGCAGAACAAAAAGCCAAGCAAACAACCACCACTGAAGCTCAAAGCAGAGGAGCATGGGAGGTCCCCTTTGGAGACTGACACGAGGAGGGGCCCCTTGCTGCCTCCTCCCTCCTGTCACCTGCCGGTGCTCATTGACTCAGCTTGTGTCTTCTCTGGCTAGGTTCTTGGACAGTTCCCTCCACGCGGTCAGCGCCTTACAGCAAGGACTTGTGCCCAGACCTCATGGGGTCAGGACTAGGTCTCTTCTCAAGACTCTGAAAACCAGCCTTAGATGTGAAGGGCACCGCCCTGGGCAGAGGGTAATAAGCCCACCTTGCATTTTGACAGAGCTTTCCTTTTCTCCAGTGTGCATTTGTGTCCTCCCCAAAGTCAGAAATAATTTCAGTTTATGGGAGGGCTGGTGTTATTTTCATTCCAGGGAGAGGGAAATCGACACAGGACGGAAGCGGGTGACTTAACCATGGTGGCCAGTTGTGACCGGCAAAGCCAGGCCTTTCCCTCTGAGCAGCAGGTGTTGTGCGTCTTTCTCTGACGCTCTGCAGCACCCTGAAAGAGAGCCTTGCGTGTTTATCATTTCTTCGAATGTAGCAGCACCTTGAGATGAGACAGAAGCGTGGCAAAATCGGCACAGCCAGGAGGAAAACCGAGCTGAAACTGGTGCATTTGCCAGTTAGCAAGCAGAGGCAACTGCTGTGACAGCCAGAGCCCACCCTGGAAAGCCCTCCGGAAGTGTCAGATGGGTTTCTGTTGTCCTGACGAGGATTTCCAGCTGGTGGGTGTTTCCACCTTTCCTTCACCCCCACAGCCATGGGAAGGATGCTGAGGTTCAGGCACCCCTGGTTCTTGTCACCAGCGCCCTCCAGACAAAGGCGAAGAGTTCTTTGAGGGAAAGCATTCAAACCCAAATGCAGGACGGATGACGAATAGCTCCCGGCCGTCAGCCCTTGGGGAGCACTCTGTAAAATGGCAGTGGTGCACTTTTCTCCCGCATCGAGTGAGAGTCTGTGTATTTTTAGAAAAAAAAAAAAATCGGGCTGGGGTGCTGGGGGGCTGGCTGCCCGGAGGGTGCACAGGGGAAGGTTCTCGGGAAGACTCTGAAAACCAGCCTTAGATGTGAAGGGCACCGCCCTGGGCAGAGGGTAATAAGCCCACCTTGCATTTTGACAGAGCTTTCCTTTTCTCCAGTGTGCATTTGTGTCCTCCCCAAAGTCAGAAATAATTTCAGTTTATGGGAGGGCTGGTGTTATTTTCATTCCAGGGAGAGGGAAATCGACACAGGACGGAAGCGGGTGACTTAACCATGGTGGCCAGTTGTGACCGGCAAAGCCAGGCCTTTCCCTCTGAGCAGCAGGTGTTGTGCGTCTTTCTCTGACGCTCTGCAGCACCCTGAAAGAGAGCCTTGCGTGTTTATCATTTCTTCGAATGTAGCAGCACCTTGAGATGAGACAGAAGCGTGGCAAAATCGGCACAGCCAGGAGGAAAACCGAGCTGAAACTGGTGCATTTGCCAGTTAGCAAGCAGAGGCAACTGCTGTGACAGCCAGAGCCCACCCTGGAAAGCCCTCCGGAAGTGTCAGATGGGTTTCTGTTGTCCTGACGAGGATTTCCAGCTGGTGGGTGTTTCCACCTTTCCTTCACCCCCACAGCCATGGGAAGGATGCTGAGGTTCAGGCACCCCTGGTTCTTGTCACCAGCGCCCTCCAGACAAAGGCGAAGAGTTCTTTGAGGGAAAGCATTCAAACCCAAATGCAGGACGGATGACGAATAGCTCCCGGCCGTCAGCCCTTGGGGAGCACTCTGTAAAATGGCAGTGGTGCACTTTTCTCCCGCATCGAGTGAGAGTCTGTGTATTTTTAGAAAAAAAAAAAAAGTCGGCATGGGATGCTGGAGGTCTGGCTGCCAGGAGGATGCACAGTGGAAGTTTCTCGGGCTTGGGGGATAATGAGAGAGACAGGAAGGTCTACAGGAGAGGGCACATTTGCATACCACTTACAGAAAAGCTCTTGATTCTTCTACAGAGCTAGCAGCCCCTCGCCAGCAGCTGCAGAAGGCAGCTCCTTAGTTATGAAGCAGCCAAAGCCCCGGGGCCACAACTTGAATCCCAGACCCAACTACACGCCAGGGGCGTGTGCGCGTGCGCACGTGCATGGCCAAGATCCCAAAAGGTGAATGGAGAAGGGACTGCGGCATGGCCATCCCCCTGGGGGATGATCGCTCACTTTCTGTCTTTCTCTGTCTCTCCGGTGAACGCACGTGCCCTGTAAGAAAATCTCTACAAAATAAATCAATCAAAGGCCCTGGGATAGAGTGCAGTCATCTAGTTGTGCTTGCGGTGATGAAGAGGGTTTGGCTCTTGGGGACAGTGGAAAGGGAATGGGCCGGAGTGCAGAGCAGGTGGCTGTGAGAGAGACTCCTTCGCAGTAACGAACTGGGAGAGAGGCAGGGCGCTGAGGAGTTCCTTTGCCTCAGCCAGGCAAGCAGCGCCTAGAATGACCATCCAGTTGTCACCATGTCAATGAATAATACGTAAGTTTGAATGCTAATCCTGATAAAAACGGGTGAGGAAGCTACTGGTGTAAACTGAGGCCCTCTTCTCCTTACTATCTCCATAGCTTATATGAAATCTACCTTTTCCAGTAGGAAACTATGCATTCCCCATCGATCCCTTTGACTATCAAGAATGTATACCTGTGATAAAATAGGCCAATATGCCATTTGGTACCATTTTTATGTCTTTCAAGTGCATAACTTAGAGGTAAAATAAGAATACTTTGTACGTATATGGAAACAAATTGTGCAAAATGCAGGCTACAATGGATGCATTTTCAGGATGCCTATGTTGGGCTCTTTTGGGGAAATAGAGTTAACGAACACCCTGCCTCTTAATTCAATATCTTCTGTAAGCCTATGAATAAAAAGTAGTTCATGTCCACCATCGCTTTGGTCTCTGGTCTGTTTGCATACGGGTATGTCCACTTGAGTCATAGGTTTGAAGGGACAACACGGGATACCGAGGGACAGCAGTGTCTTTGTGGCTTCTTTTCTATTTCGAGGGAAGACAGACAGCATAGGGGCCTTTTGCCTTCTCTACCTGAAAGCTGAAAATTCACTAAGGTCGCAGAACTTGACAGTTAACACACCTACCTGCTCGGTAGAATCAGTCCTGATGGATTGACTGAGAACTCGAGACATCTCTGGTGCCTCCTGTTTCTACACGGCGAGAAGGCGAGATGGCAAGAGCTCATTGGTTAGGGAGAGCCGTGGACCCCTTTGACCTGGTCTCTGCGTGTCTAGGATGTGCTGTGGCCCATGGTCGTGCGAAGTCAGCGCTTGCCACCTGCACCTCAGTCCAAGACTCACTTGGTTTGGTTGGGTCAGTGAAGGATGAAAAGCCCCTCCCCTAGGACCTGCACCTGTTGCGTGCCAAGTAGTTGGACATGCTGTGGAGAGTTTTTGAAAGTTCAAGAACAGAGTTCTTGCCCATACCAACCACTCACAAGGGCAAGTCCTAGTTGCATGGACTCTAGCCAACGGTACAAGGTCTAGATAAATTCTGCATCACGAGGCAGCATGTGACGAATTGTGCCATGAGTAAAATAGTCAGGGTGAGAATCATACATCAAACTCCTGGTGTGGCCTGGTGCTGCATTACGTTCTCTTCCTGTGTAGTGAGTTAGCAGGAATGGAGTGCTCAAATGAAGACCCTGCATAACTCACAGTTCCCATGGGTCAGAAGCCCAGCTTAGGTGTGTCCTCTTAGATTCTCACGATGTTGCCAGCAAGGTGTTGGCCATGGGCCAGCGGTGATGCAGCTGGACGCACAGTGGGAATGTCCTGAGTTTGCCTCCCGGAATCTCCTTGTGCGGGGGTGGGGGAGCGCATGTGCATGCATGATCAAATCCCGGCTGGGTCTGAGGGTGGATTGTGGCATGGGAACCCTGTTGAGAGTGCTTTTCTCTCTGGCTCTCATGAAGAAGTAGATCGACAAACCATCAAAGATCGTTGACAGCAAGGGGAGGTAGCGACCAGCTTGTATTTTCACTTAGAGGCTCAGCTGGGGGAAGATCTGCTTTCAAGTTCATCGGGCAGCTGAGAAATTCATTTCCTGTGGTGATAGGAACGGGATCCTTGCTTTCTTGTAGGCTATTAATTGGGAGCTTCTCATAGCTCCTAGAGGCCGCCTGCATTTCCTTGCTGTGTGGCCCTCTCCAAAAGTGCTGTGACAACACGACTGTTGGCTTCTTCAAGGTCATTGGGAGTCACAAAACTGATGTCTCATCACCTTTGCCCTGTTCCGTTGGTTTGAAACAGGTCACGGGCTCGCTGTCACTCAAAGGGAGCAGATTATACAAGAATAAGACTCGTGGGGCTGGAGTGGGGGGTCACTTCAAGGTGTAGGCCCCAGAGACACGGGCGTACAGCATGGATGCCCAGCTGGTCAGAGGACACGGTCACCATGAACACCTGCTCACCTGGAGCCGGTGCCTGCGGGCGGTGCGGGCGGTGGGGTGAGAGATGAGTTGTGAATAAAGACGATGAATGCATAGAAAGGTCGCTTCAGGCCAGGGGAGTAGCCCTCTGACCAGCTTAGAGGTGAGGAAGGGCCGGTTCCTTGGCGTGATCATTTTACCATTAAATCATTGTTTTGCATCTGTGGAGAAGTGCCAAAAGAACTAAATTCTTCCAAACCTGCAAGTCAGAAGCTCATTAGAGCCAAGGCGAAGCCTAATATCTCAGCGCGTCTCATCTTGGAATTAAAGTGCTCTGTAAATCGGCCAGTCCCGGCCGTACGCCCATTAGCGGCACACACACTCGTTTCCTCTGTGGCTCAGAGCTGATTGAGGACTGACTGTCTAAACACAATTGGAGGCGTAAGTAATGTGTCACTTTCATTGATCACCTGTCCTTGCAATTGGCTTCTGTTCCTGCCTCCCAGACGGAACAGCCTTTTCCTAACCAGAGTCTAATTGGCACAAATGACTTTTCCAGCAAATTGGTGGCAGCGCCGAGACTGAAGGCCTTGGACAAACCCCACCTCCTGGCCTCAGCTCGAGCCAGACTCTTGCTCTATGTAAGCCCCGCCTGCCTCTGCCTTCAGCCAGACAGCGAGAACAGGCCCCAAAGGAAGAGAGGCGGACAGGGAAGGAAACGCTAACCCGCCGTCCTGGCACTCGCTGGAGCCTGTCCCTGAGCCCGGACATTGCACACACCTCGGGGAAGTCCGTGCAGCACAGTGAGTTCTCGCTGTCTTCCAGAGACCCAAGTCCAGCTCCCCGTGCGCGGCCCACACACCCGGCATCCCAGTCTTCTCACCAGCGCCCCCAGCTGCAGGGCTGGTGTTGCCAGTCTGATCACTTCCACCGGCTCCCTCTTTGCCTTCAAGGACAGCGCAGGCTGGAAGGGGTGTGCAAGTACAGTGGGCCTCAGAGAGAGTGGCCTTCCCGATGCTCCTCTTGGGCCAAGCTCCCCCCTCTGCCTCCCGGTCCGATTCCTACGTAATCTCCTGTGTTTGTTTTCCATAATCTGCCCAAGGCTCCGAACGCCCTGCAGCCTCCGAGTACTTTCACTTGGAGCTGACATCACTTCTCTGTCCCTTTGCATGAATAAATCGTATGAACATCCGGATGGCCCGTCCCGGAGTCTTTTCCGCTAGCTCTCCGTGTCTGTGACAGGAGCAGCACCGCGCTCGGGCTGAAACCGAGTCCTGAGGAAGGTGCAGAAGCGTTTTCACAGCTTCACGGCGTGCTTCCCTGCTTGCTGACATTCGGGTGGAGCATCTCGGGGAATGTGAGTGTGCCCTGAATAAACACTCTGTCCCTGAGATCCAGTCCCACCAGTGAAGCACTTGGAGCCCAAAACAAATATCAAACACAAGTCCTTCGGGTCTTTGTCACCTGCTCAAAGAAGCTGCTGTTCCTAGCTGTCACGTGCCGCTCCCCCAGGCTCATCTCCTCAAGTCTCTTCAGCCTCTCGTCTCCGGGTACAGCCCACTCCTCCCTCTCGATCTCCTCTTTCCTTTTCTTT